CGGTGTCCTTTAATGCAGGGGTAGGTAATGTTGGGCCCGAGAAATAACCAATGCCATAGAGCATCACGTACCACACCAGAGAAGCAGCTCCACTCATCACATTACACAGGCAAACTCCCAGCACGGAGGAGATGACCACTCAAGAGACCCGATGGGACAGAACGGTGTGTTCCCAAACTGTCACTGCCGAAGGCCCATCTCTCCCACAGAGGAGCAGGTTTCAAACTGCTGACCTGGCAGGTAGCAGCCCGTTATTACTCTATCAGGCCTCCCTTAGGGAGTTTATACATTTGGTTACATATAGCAGGCAAAGATTTAAGTGAATAATTTTGTGTGGCGTGAGGTTGGTTATAATATGCAAACAACCCTTGGCAGTAAAAAGGTTCCCCACCCCTGCTTTAATGTGACACTGATGTGCCGAGCTGGTATCCCTTATTAAGTCCGTTTATCCTGGGGAGTCCTTCCTGTGAAATTCCAGCCAGTGGAGGGGCCGCTGGAGCAGGCAGGGCTAATCACAGGCCCAAGGAACAAGCGCAACCCCCCCCTTTCAATTGCTAATCACACATGGAAGCCCCGCACACCAGGGAGGCACCACACCCATCGGAGGCCATGGTTTCTCCACTTTTTATTTCGAGTTTAGAGAAGTTAACCTAAGAAAATAATAAAACAGCATAAAGGAGTTAGTTTATTAATGTTTCAGCTGATCGAGATGCAGCAAGGGCTCCAGAGTGGGCGGCTAGGACGACCGATGTTCCCTCCGATGCTGACAGCCCAGGCCACATCCAGTGACCTCTCGGATGGAGAACCGATTATTCACGAGGGCTTATGAGCCAACGATCTCTAGGTAACACATGGACAATGGCTGTTGACCCAATGGTGGGTGGTTCAAGTTGTCTAGACCCCTGAGCAGAACAGCCACACACACACACACACACACACACATACACACACACACGGAATCAGAATCCACTCACCAGCAATTGGCACAAACCAATTTACAAAAGGCTTACCAATGACCCTTGAATAAAGCAGGGCTTCTCCCACTGCCTCTCTGTTGACTGACTCACAGCAACGTGATGGACAGGGCAGAGCGGACCCTGTTGGTTTCTATGTCTGTAAATCTTTACAGGAGCAAAGTCTCCTTCCTCTCGGGGAGCAGCTGGTGGGTTTGCACTGCTGACCTCACAGACACCACCACCAAAACCGCACGGGCACTGACTTGATGCTGGCTCATAGCGACTCCGTTTGGGAAACTCTCGATGGGACCCCGGGTCTTTCTCCTGTGGCGCAGCTGCTGACCTTGCAGATTCAGCTCAACATGAACCAGCGCTCCTTTATCACAGGGGTTCGGGGCCCCAAATCCTGTGTGTAATTTACAGTGGACCCTTGACCAATGTGGGTTTGAACTGCACAGGCCAAGCCCACTTGCCCTCAGATTGTTTTTCTTGCCATCAGAGGGAGCTCGAACATTGCAAGCACCACGCAACGCTACTCACCTCCCCGTGAGGGGTGACTTTCCAGTTGATGCTAGCTGCCTCCTCCCTCTCCCCCATCATCCCCATCCACTGGGCCTCCACAGTCCAGACCCCTGTGGTCCAAGTGTCTCTGGACCTCAACTGCCCGGCCGACGCAGTGGGCTAGGGTTTGTACCACCACCCACCCCTTCAGGGCTCAACTTCTTTTGTCTTCAGAATCATGGCATCTGGGAACTCCGGACAGATGTCTGTGGCTTCCACAACCCGTGCCTGGTGATCCATCCCTCAGGTCCCCTGGGCCCGCTGAAGGTCACAGAAGGAGTGTGCCGGAAATGAGGCTCCTTCCAGACAGCACACAAACTGAGGAATAGGAACACACTTGAAACTCAGGCCACGTGAAATCGGTGCCACTTTTACTTTATTTAAGGGGGGAAGAGAGGGGAGGGACAACAGTAATTTTCATAATACACAGAAGACAAGTTAGCACTGCGCCCAAAATAAAGTAAGAGCCGAGTGTGTACTTGCCACCAGTCTGCTTTGCAGCTCTCTGATTAGTAAATTTAATGCAGTTTGTCATTTGTATTACTATTTAGCAAATTGATAATGGGCAGAATTAGGGATTAGGAAATCACCAGAAGTGTACTATAAAGCCTAAGACGAAAACCTAAATAATGCATTAAAAAAAAACCACTTAAAATAAACCATAAATTATGTGATGCACATTAGTGTAACAAAACCATTTTGTTGTAAACATTTTCTCCAACATCATGTGTGCATGAGGGACAAAAGTAAAAACACTGCACTCGTTACAGAAAGGGTTAACTCGGATGTCAATACACAAGGGCACTGGTTATTAAAGCTGACTTAGCCGAGAGACATACTTGTGTTTTTGAGGCGCACAGATTTGATAAGAGTTCAATGTTCTGTACATAATAGTTTTGCCATAATACTGTTTTAGTTTTGTCATTCTGCCACCTTGGCACTTCTGTGGAAAAGTCACTACCCTGTGGGGGACAGGGGACAGGGGTGGGGAATGGAAGGGGGGGGCACGGGAGGCGGCATTCCTTCTGTAAAAAAATCTGAAATTTCAACCGCTCAAAGTTTTTCCTGGAGGAACCCCCCACCCCCCCATCAGGGAGGGCCACACAATCTGGTATACCTGGCAGGGACCAAGAAGGGGCTGAGGACCACACCAGACAAGTGAGGCATCACTAGGAACTCAAGCCAAGCCTGCCTGCAGCAAGTCAAACGCAGCCAGTAAGTTCACCTCAAACACCAATTGGGGACCTTCTTACACGAGGCCAAACCCCACGGCTGTAGCCCTGTAAGGGATATCCAGTCTGGGTCAAGGTTTACGCATCAGTTGCACGACACCGCTTCTTGGCTTACACACAATGAATGGCCGGACTGGGGATCAGGCCAAGAATGCTGCATGGCCACACCCTCTCCCCCCACCATGATTTTACCAGAAACCTAAGACACTTGCCCTTTCCTTTCTAAAGCCATGGGAGGGGGCCAGAGACGCCCGCCCGCTTCATCTTCCCACCACGTACGTGTGCGCTCCGCTACAGAAAGCCCTCAGCAGGAACTCGCTTTGGCCTGAAGTCTGGCCTGTTTCAAGTCCTTCCAAAGGTGGGATGAAGTGTTCAGCTTTTTCTGGGAAAGAACCAGTCCTTCCAGGTCTGGCCATCGGCACTATTC